CCAATTATATATATATATTTCTTTCGTTGCTTTTTTTTAAATTAATATTCCTTTAAATCCAGGCGTTGTCAGTGACATTTGTTGGAGTGCGCTATACAGTCCGATGCCTTTGGGTAATGGATGCAGCTTCAAATGACTCGGCATTAAGATTCTAATAATCTTTGAAGGCGAAATTTTTTTGCGGTCGATCGCTGCTGTGTTTGCCAGTAAAAATGTACCAGGAGAATCAGAGAGGCCTTTCCATTGCCAGCCGAGAGAGACAGAATATTAGGGTATTTGTCTACGTCTCCGAATACCCCACATATTACATTTGGTTCCAGTGGCAGAACCCGAGTTTGGCGACATCAACGGACAAGAACTCAGTCCATAACATTTTTTATTTTATGAGATTCCAGAAGCGATTTAGGCATTTAGTCGAAGGGGCGCTGCAGCTTGAAATGCGCCAATTCGAGTTGTGGCTAAATCGGCGGATATCAGGAAGCGAAGGAGCTGAAAACAGTGTTAGTTAAAGCTTAGGTTGTTGATATTTCCTTAGGAATAATATTTTAAATGGTCTCTCGCCCTATAAATGCTGACTAATATTTTATTAGTTGAAAGCTTTTCTACTTCTTTTCTGCAAGCCTCTTTATAACAGGATATTTACTTAATTGGAATGCAGAAAAAAAAAAAAAATTTTGGGGTATACATGAACATTGTTGTAGGTGAAGAGTTAGAAAGCTTTTACTAAGAAGTTTTTTTTTTTTTCAACTCGTAGCTTGTTTAATTAAATTCCCTTCCAAATGAGATTCTAGGAAGGCCCAACGTTAAGCACCTTGGATTTATTGTTCTTCCCGCTGCATTTCAATTGCCACTGTATGTGTGTAGACCGATTGCAATTGCCAAAAAGCGAGTAAATTGCTGGCAAATAATTAAAATCGCCAATAAATTCGCTTTTTCTCAACAATTAAAGCTTCATAAATCTTCGCGCGTGTTTTGGGTGATCAACAACACCAATAACAACAGTAGAAAAAGCGCAGCAACTCTTAGTTGAGCCGAGTTCAACGCATCAGAGTGCAAGCTCAATTCACGTTTTTTTTTTTAATAAACACCAAACTCTAACTGGTTTTTCTAAAGTGGCAACTAAACGCGTAATTTAGCGGCATCATTGCCACATTTAATGTGTTAGTTTGTACATATAAATCTATATGTTTGTGTGTGTATGTGACTGTATGTTTAGTGGTTGCCCTGCTGCTGCCAGGTCACCAAACATTGCGGCACGGCACATAAATCCCAGCAGAGTTGGCGGCGAGACTAGATTAAATTTGCAGTGTTGGAGAATCGGTTTGCGTTAAGTACTGTTAGTCTACGGCAGCATAATTCAATGCGTTGCGCTAATTCACTGCCAGCAGACACTGAAGCCAAACTCGCTGTTGGTGGGGAAAAAGAGTTAGTTTGACTTGTGTAGTGAAGGGAGGGTGTGGGGGTACCACAGGGGCAACTGCAGGTAGTCTCGTCTCTTCTTCGTTTTTTTTTTTCGCAGCGTCTAATTGAGTTGTACACGCTACTAATTGCATTTGATTCTTATGGTTGCCATAAAACACACCACACCATAGCCCGACAAGGCATGGAGTTCGAGGCGCTAGTGGCATAATGATGTATGTGGCTGTGTGAGTGCTGAGGAAAGCGTAGAACTTCAATTTAATTTCTCCTATATCCTTTTAGCTGCAATGGCATTTTCGAAGACATTGATAGTTGCTGAAGCAGCTGGCAATGGGTAGCATGCTGAGCGAGTATGGGTAAGAGAGCGTGGTGTGTGGGGATAAGCAACGCAGGATTACTGTTATTTGGCGCTATAAAATTTTTTCTTGAAATAATTAAATTTTATTGCTGCAAATGAACCCGAATTGAAAGAACTAAACGAACAGCAAGCTATCCGCCAGCTGCTAACGGGGTGCAGCGCGCATGTGGTGGTGTTAGTCTGCTGATATAGCCACACTATATCATGTGCGTGCATGTGCATGTTGGCTTATAGAATTTATTGTTTTTTGTTTTCGCTGCACTGCCGGCATTTTTCACTCAACTAACTCACTCTCACTCACTCGCTTTTAATTAAGAAGCAATCATTAAATTAAACCAAACTCATTTTGGTGTGCAATAAAAACGTGTTGTGCCTTTTTACCGCTATGACGCTCAAGGTGTTAAGACGTCACTATGCACCACCAACACACATAAATATCATTGAGTGCTTAGCTACAGCAAAACCTTATGAAAAAGCGTTTTACTTGCAAAAGCCATCAACGAACACTCGGTGCCGGTTGCTTTTGGCTTTCGCTCACTGATGCTGCCACTCGAAATTTATTTCTAGTTTTAACACATTAAATTTAGTTGCATTATTTAATTGCCAACGTGATTGGAAATATAAAAAATCTGTTTTGAGGTAATTAAATCAATTTCAGAATTGGCGTGCTGGGATTAATATTTGCGCTTTTATATTCGAGCGGAAAAAAATTATTGAAAGTTCAGGTTGCCACAGATTGAATTGCGCTCAACTAAATCAGGTGCAGCAGATAAGTGTTGGACATATTAAGTGAGGTGAGGGCTCCGCCGAGCAATTTTTGACTTCTCTTTACTTGCATAGGCGATGATTCTGCAAACAAAAATAAAGAAAAATATCCTGGGTTCAGTATTTGGCTCAATAGTCGTGCGCAGGCGAGCGAGTTGGCATAAGGAAGGGCCGTTTTAAGTTTCGCATATGAATTTCTTAAAATCTTAATAGTAACAACTACTTGAATACTTCGCTAGAAAATAACTAACTTCACTGCATATTTCAGCTCAGGAAACTTAAGCTTTTAGGCTTCTTTTTTTTGAATCCATAAATTGAATGAGGAATAAAAATGCTCAATATTTCCTTACGCTTGGCATTTTATTTAAAATTTAAACAAGATAAGAATAAAAAACATCTTTCAGGTGTTAAAGTGAAACAAGTTTTAATGGACCTTTAATTTAAGTCAGAAGCAAAAGCAGGCAAAGTTACGCACAGTGGGGTGATCTTAGACATTTCCATTCAGAGTGTTGCGCTAGATAGGAAATAGAAAGGTGTCAAACTGTTAGCTAACAAAGAAAGATTAAAAGAATAATTGCAATTGAAATGTAGACCATCGAAATGAAAAAACTTGAAAACATTACAAATTGAGAGAACTGCAAGCGGCTACACCTAAGCCTAGCTGAAAGCTTACGAAAAGTTTGCTTGGTTTTGTAAGCTGTTTTAGTTTCTTCCAGCCATGCGTGCACACTTCCGCAAAGGTTGCGGCTGCAGACATCGCGAAAAATGTGAGGTCTGAATCGGCTGAAAACCAGACATTCGCGACGGTAGTGCTCTAGTGTCTCTTCATCCTCTGTGCTCACTTAGCTTAATGCGAGTATCAGCTCGATCTGTCTACTGTATACATTGCATTCCTATTGATATGCGACCAAAGTGATAGTCAGGTAGACTTTGGGCTGGCTTAGTTAATTGCTTATATTCCACCTTGGCTATCAACCACAAACCTGTTAGATTTCCATATTATCGCTGGCGCCCATTTGAAGCCTTCAGTAATGCATCAGCGTAGTAATTTAATTTAATTTGAAGTTACTTTGGCTATTGCGTGGACATAGCAGATCGCTATTCTTGTGACTGCCTCACAATTAGACTCCTCAGTGTCAACAGTTTTATACCTAATCTGTACAGAAATGAGAGACCAGAGGTCCTAGTAAATTATGTTTGTTGTGTAGTTTTACCGGAGTCAAGTTGAAGTAAGTTAAAAAAATGTATCCTATACATTGCCACTGTACATTCTCATATCAGCACAAAAGCCCATAAAGTCATTTTTTCCGCAGAAATTTATGCTCGCAAAGGCGATAATTGAAAAGAGTAATGAAACTAAATGGAATGAGCTAAAGTGTTTCTAAAGAAAAGCCCGAGAAAGAGTTTAAAACGCACCTGCTACGAAAAAACCTGCAAAAAAGAGACAAGGAAATGCTAGAGAAAGCTATACACACAGCTCCCTCTGGCGGGGAGGGCGCCAGCGCGATGAGTTGTGATGAAACCAAGATAAATTATGATGTAATGTATAATCATAAATGAGACAGACAGTGATTTGCGTGCACATTATGAAGTTAAAGTTGAATGAAGAGAAATGTTGTTGTTTTTGTTGCATTTAGCTGGTTTAATACAATGAATGAGCGAATAAGCGGTTATCACGATATGCTGTTGATGACAACGACTTTGATCTGCGTATATTTAATGTCAGAGCGCGGGAGAGGTGGCCAGAAGGCCAGAGCATTCGTGCAATGCTTTTGAGTGACGTGGAAAAAGTTTCGTTTGAAAAAAGTTACAGGAAGAGGGATATTGTATGAAATTTGCAATGTGGCTTTTATGAGTATTAGAAAAATTAAGAGAAACTAAAATGAGTATTTATGGTTGTAAACTCTTGGTTTTCCAAAACTTAACTGTGAATTAAAGGTCTAGTCTGCCAACAAAGCACTACAACTAAAAGCATGCTTAGAGGCTGCAAAATCTGAAAAATCTATGGCACACTTTGAGACGTAGTCTTCTGCTTTAATAGCGACAGGCAGTAGTTTTGAGATCGTTGCTAGAATAGGAGTTATTCAATATTTTCGTTATTAAGCCTATAATGGAAAAAAGGATGTGAATATAATTCCAGAATTGGAGGAAATATATTTATTATGAAATATATGTATACACATAAGCATAAAAGCACCGCTGAGATAAACTAATTGCCACTAATTTGTTATCTACTCCATTAAATAATCCAGTAGGGAAATTATTGCTGTCGCCGACAGGGCAGCACCCAGCATACAGGCCACAAATAAGGAAAAACCACGACACTAAACGAGACAACTGAAATATAGTGCATTAAAAGAAACGAAACGAAAGTTGAAGGCAAGTTTGTTCTGCTAGTTTTGAAAAATGTCTCTTGTTTTGAATACTTAAAAAATGTATTTTTTTCCGTATAAAAACATCAAAAATCTACAAAAATCATCGCAATTCATGATAAAAAACATGCAATAAAATCACTTAAAAAACGAAAGACCTGTCCAGTACGGTCGCACCCTTAGCGTTAGGTATTTCGCACGTCAAAAAAGTTTTTGCTTGCGCATTTTTAATGTCGCCCAGTATTTCAGCAGCGTTTAGTCAATGATGATCACCTCATCCACCACCACGACTTCACTCTCAGATTCCTGTTCTTCAGCACAGTAATCGTCATTTTGCGATTGTTCATTTGATTCGTCGTCATTATCGTCATCGCCAAAGTCCTCTTCATCCATGGTGTCGTAGTCATTGTTTCCAGGGTCATCATAGTGTTCATTATCAAACTCGTTAAAGTAGTAAACATCATCCGTCTCATCATCAATATCATCGTTCTGTTCCTCCTCATCTGCTTCATCTTCCATCTGCCACTCTTCTTCTTCGTCGAGATCCTCGTTAAATACCTCTTCCTCATACCCTTCCAAGCCGACCTCATCTTCGATTTCTTCTCCTTCCAAATCAGATGCAAAATCAGTTTCAGCAAACCTGGCATCAACACCCACCGTCCCCTCAATTTCTTCAACCTCCATATCCTCCTGCTCCGCTTCGCTTGCACTAACCGTCGATACCGAGTTGGTTGGCGTGCTGTCGCTCCCTGCATTAGCGAATGTCATATCTGAGCTGAGACCGAAAACATCCGTTTCAGAAGCGATTGCCATGAACTCCTCCAACAAGTAAATTTGCTCAGCTGGAACATCAGCAGTGGTTTCAGAGGGCACAGTAGTGACAGCGTCGGCATCGGCTGCGGCTGTGGTTTCTGTTGCTGTTTCCACTGGAGTTGCGACCGCACTCATACGCATATGAGACGTGCCACCGTTTCTGCCTGTACTTGTCCTTATTCTTGTTGTTGTGGTTGTTATTGCGTTATTATCTTCGGAACGCTTTCGTTTGACCTGCCCGAAAAAGAGATAAAGAAGAGTACACAGCACAGGACGAACTAGAGACATTTTTCACTTTCTACAAAACAATTTTCGCCCTCAAAAGCACTTACGGAACGTCGTTTCTCCTTCAGCGAGCCACGGCAGATGGGACAGCGCGTGGCCCAGGCGTACTTTTGGTAGGATTTATATACGTCCAGGCACTCATTGCAAAACGAGTGGCCACAAGTGATGCGCACCGGCGAGCGTTTCTCGTCTAGGCACAGCACGCAGCGTTCGGCCCGATTTGCACTACCAGCGGCGTTAACTGTAAAACCACTGCTGCTACTAGGCTCAGTCGCTGAGCTTTTGATTATATTTTTCGCATCGCTACTGACACTGCCGCGATATCTGCTGTGGTTGGGACTATTGCTACAATTTATGTTATTGTCACGTCTGCTGATATTATTATTGTGGTCGGCCATGCTTTTCATGGATCCCACGCGGCCACTCCTTGGTATTTTGGCCTCTCCGTCTGCTTTAATCACGAACGGATGCAGCCTGTCAATCGGCTGACAGCTTTTCTATTTTCTCTTGTTATTCTTGATTGTTGAATGCCTCGATTTCTTACTGCTGTTGTTGTTTTGATTTTTGATCGACGCTGACGTCAACTTAAAATGCGGCTTGTATTAAAATATATATATATTTATGTAGTTTAACGGAAATATATTAGTTGAAGAAAATTTGGGAAATTTGTCTGTTTTGTTTTTTTTTTTTTTCAGGAAATTCTGAAAACAAAAATCATTGGCATATGAATGTGCGTGTGAAGTGTGAATCGTAGATAGGAAAGCAGTTTGAAGAAATATTCAAAAGAAATGTATAAAACATACTATACAACAATAAGAAAAACTAATGCTGAAGTCAGACCTCTCACAGAAGGTGCTATACACATTTCTTTATAGATCAGACGCTCTGTTTTATTCTTCGTTTATCTTTTTTGAAGTCCTGATTTATGTATGTCCTTGGGGAAAGTTGGGAAAAGCAGAGCATTTTAAGAATTTATGTGCAAATATTAAAAAAAAAATAAACATTAAAATAAAATAGAATAATAAAAAAAATTAAATTAAATTAAATAATATAAAATAAAATAAAATAAAATAAAATAAAATAAAATAAAATAAAATAAAATAAAATAAAATAAAATAAAATAAAATAAAATAAAATAAAATAAAATAAAATAAAATAAAATAGAAAATTAAATAAAATAAAGAAATAAATTAAAATAAAAAAATCTAAAATCAAATAAAAAAATAAAAATATTTAATTAAATGATATAAAATTAAATAATATAAAATGAAACAAAATAAAATTAAATAAAACAAATATAATAAAATATAGTTAAATTACATCAAATTAAACAAAAGAATATTAAATTAAATAAAAAACTAAGACAACAGAAAAGAAATATAATTTTTTGCCAGCCAAACACGCATTCAACGCAGTATAACTGCGCTTTCTGAAGAACCTTTTGATGCATTAATGCAAAAAGTAATCCTTAGTACGTACATACGTTCAGTTAGAGCAATATATTGCACGTCGCTATTCCACAGCATGTTAGATTGCGATCGTAATTTATCTCGAAGTTGTTTGAATTTTTTTCTATTGCTATTGCCCGTATCGCTTTAACTCCTATTCTCAACGCCTTTTCAACTTTAAATAGCTTTGATGCGCTTTCAACGCCTGCATGTATGCAATGTTCATTCGAGCGTAAGCCTTTTGTTGCCAACAGAGTGATGTAGAGAAGCAGAGATGGAGGGAAAGAAAAGTAGTGAGAAGGACCATTAACAAAGCAGGCTTGCTATGCCAAACTGGCCAGCAGTGCAAGCTTCAAGCATTTGAATGGATATGCTAGGAAAATCAAGTCACACATATGTTAGCAAGTATATGCCAGCAGGAATGTATTGTATGTATGCATGCATGCGTAGTCATTTGCGCCACAGTCGCCTAGAATTCATTAGCCAAATGCATAGCTGTAAAATTGCATAATTTCTTAGCAAAAGCGCATGGTCGCTTTTAACGGCCATTTCATTGCTTTACACATTTATAGCATGTACACAGACACATACTTACTCAGTTACTTTAGTGCCTTGGGTTGGTCGCATTTTATTGATTGCTCAGATAATTTAGCAGCAAGACGAAAATATTTACTTTGCCAATTATTAAAGTGTAAATATTTGCATACAAATAAAGTGGTTAATAAATAAATGTTTTCTATATATAAAATAAATATGCAAATTTATATAGATACTTAGATATTTACTTGCTTACTTGCAGCAGCATGTACTGTTATGTACTGTTAGGTTGAATAATTCAACTGTGAATTGCACATGAACACTTTGTTTGTCAGACAAAACACTTTTGAGCAATTCAGCACATACAACTCAACACACATACGAGCAAACACTTATTGATATATGCGTGGTCGTTTTGTGCACATTTATGCCGGGAAATCTCAGTAAATATGCAAGATATTGGTTGACCGTTTGTCAAGTCTTGCACCCAAATGTCCGCTTAAGTTTTTGCTTGAAATCTTCCCTCTGGCTGCCTCTCTATCTGTCTCTCGGTATCTCTCTTCGTCCGTCTGTCTGTCTGCCTGTCTGCCTGTCTAATGCTTGGGTGTTTGTTGCGTTTTCAAATACTTTTCCATTGAATGCTTCTTAAGTGTATCCTAGGCGAACACCATATTGAATAGGTCTTTGTTAAAGGCTAAATACACACACACACACATAGCAGTTATCACAGCAAACTGACACACATTTGTCGGTCACATCCTTCCGCTCGCATTCATTGTTCATTCGGGAATCTTTCTTCCTTCTAGTGCTATTTATACTAACCATGATATACTTATTTATGTACATATATGCGCTCAGGTTAGACACAGTGATTTGACACACTGAAACGTTATATATAACATAAGCACAATGCAAATACAAAATTTTTGATTAAATTCTACATGAAAATTTTCGAGTTTTGCTTCTTGTATTCTTTATCTCGAACTCTCGTCTCCTCTCGATTTCTATTGCCCTCAATTGAATCGTTCAAGCGTGCAGACAAAGCAACAGCAAATCAAAAACAAATAAATGTTTGCATACAATATGTATCGCAAGCCCGGACGCTGAGGGAAGGGGGCTTGTATGAGTGAGCTTTTCTTTCTGGTATTTATCCCTTCTTTTGCTAATATGCCCTACGTGCCTTACCGCCTCTGGAGTTTTCACAAAAATCCACAAACCGTAAGAAAATAAAGTTGCTTTTTGTCTGAGCAGCCTACTTTTGAATTGAAGTGATTTTTATCTGGAAATATTTCCATTTAAAGTGATTGAATTGCATTCAAATTGGACCTTTGTGGCTGTCCAAGTTGTGGCTGTACAAGTTGTGGCTGTCTCGTAAAATAACGTAAGCTTCAGGTAAGGAGTGAAGAACAGGCTGAACAATGCTCGGGGTTTCATCGCTTATTCGCCGCCTTAAGTGAGTCGAACACCTCTACTTTGATCTGCGGTTACACCTTCAGTCAAAGAATGGTAACTAGTTAAATCTTTCTTTAAACTAACCGAATGCCATTACTTTGTTCTAAGCTTAAGTTAAACGACTGAGAAGAGCTTACAACCTTATGGATGCACCGATCTACGAACGATCTATAATTTTATTAAAATCATACAATACATACGAGGTGTGATCAGAAATTCACAGTTATTTCCTGTTTCGATTTTTCTTTTATCTCATCAAGCGTAGCAAAAGGCTTTTCTTTCATCTGTGTCTTCAGTATTGGGAAGAACAAAACGTAAGCGGGGGCCAAGTCTGGTGATTCTCTTCACTGCTTCTATGCTTTCATAGGTTGTTGACGAGCTCTGGCGACCAGGACGAGCATTGTTATTGACATCCTCTCGGCTTTCCTTAAGCCGGTTATGCCACAATTGAACTTGTGTTCTGTTCATAGTAGACTCGCCAAATGCCACGGTAAGGGATATTTTCTGATCACACCTCGTATTTTCATTTCTTTTTAATAGAACAAAGAAAAATGGTAGAAGTTATGGATGTTTCTTAACTGTTATATTTTCCTCGACGAGTTGGTATGTGATCATCTTCACAGTAATCAAGATGGATCAAATACGCTATTTTGGGATAGATCGGTCCCAAGAAGAAGAAGTGATTTCTAACTTAGCTTAAGCAAACAGCCGTCTTAGAACCAAGCAAGTTGAAATTTAAATATGATGTTTTCGGAACCTTTCGGAGGCAACCCTTACACAAATATATATAAACATCATGGAAACCCTCTCTGAATTTCAGTAAAGCTATCCTGAAAATTTGAACTCGCATGAATAATTTCCAAGTCTTTATGCGGCATAGATTTATATTGATAATAAAACTAGAATGAGAAGGGTGGAGTTTAAGGGCGAAAAAATAACCGAAAATCATAATTGAAATTGAGCTCCGGTCAAAAAGAGCTCATGTAGAATGCTATAATTGATATTAGGTGCCACCTGCTATGAAAATAAGCTTGCTCTGCTTTTGAAACGGAACAGAGTTGCCGCTAATTTGATACCTTGTATTCACCTCTCAGGTCTCTTCTGGTCTTTTCTCTGTTATTTTTGGTCACTCTTGATTCAATTGTACTTTCAGATATGTGCCTTTTTAATACGTATTACAATTCTAGTAACCAGTAAAGAATTTTTACATTAATTCCAAGCACTTCATGACGCTAAGTAACGCCTCCCCAACGCAGGTAAGCTATTGGAGAAGGAAATTCATTAAAACATGAACTCACACATTCATACTAAAAGCATATGTACATTGAGGCAAATGGAAAATGTCCAATTATACGTTATACTAACCAACGCACATATATACAAATAAACAGACCCATATCATCCTTCCTTCCTTCCTTCCTGTTTCCGGCAACATTACTTTTTTAAATAATAATTTCTCATACACACACACACAGAAACGTAAATGCATACAACCACTATGAGTATTTTTCTAATTATCAACTTTATCATCAACGTGGTCATCATTATGGCAAAAGTGTGTTGATGGTTAGTAGTTGTGGATTTCCAAGGATCTCTTTGAAGCAATGAATAGAAAGTAGAAATTCATTGCTGAAAAGAGATGGAAAAGTCAGGCCACAATGTAAGCGAGAACTTTGAATATGCTCGAAAGAAGTGCTCGCTGGCGAACAGGATGTGGATGTGGATGGGGATGTGGATGTCTTGGCAGGAAGGGTTTTTGATCCACGTTTGAGTTTCTTATATAATTAGTTTTGTAAGTAGATTTACATTATAAAACACACTATTAACAAGGTGATGGCAGGCATGGAAAGCAAGAGGTGAGTGGAAGAGACAAGCTGAAGAAAGGGTGATTGCGGCAAGGTGATTGTGGCAATGAATGGAGGAGAAAAGTTTGTGGTAATGAAGTTGTGCACTTGGGAGGAAAAGCGAAAGAGTGCGAATAATATAATTTATCCTTAAGCAATCTTTCATATCTCTTTCATATTAAGAAAAGTTTGCGCCACACATACCAGGCGAGTGGATGGGACTTTTTCGTCATAATTTTCGACACAGAGCAGCCATGAAAGATGCATATAAGATAAGCCGGCGCATATTCAAGTACATACATACGTGCAAGCATATTTTTGTGGCGGCTTTGTGTGAGAATATTTATTCCTGGAAATGGAGATGCACGTCTTGCAATTTGGACTTTTTTTTTATTTGTT